GAGAAAAGAAAGAAGGCAAAAGGAGAAGGGGATGGCAGAGGATGAGATGGTTAGATAGCATCACTGCAGCAACGAGCATGAAACTGAGCAAACTCAGGGAGGCAGTGAAGGACAGGAAGGCCGGGCGCAATAAGGTTCATGGGGTCACAAAGAGTTGGACATGACTTAACAAATGAACAACAACAAAAGATGCTTTACCTCTCTTATTATCAAGGTGTAGCCCTGAATGTGGGAACATACCCATGGTCAATCGAAATCACTTTTCACCTTTCTCCACCTAGGAGTCATTTATGAAATTTTGTTTTCCTGAGGTCCTCAGTAAACGAAGGCACCAACATGGATTGGCCAACAGAAAGACACCACTTGGGAGCAATTTTACCTGGTGCTTGGCTCACCTCTTATTGCCTGTGGTTGCAAAAGAGTTGCCTGTTAGAATGCTGGGAATTCCCCAATGCCCTCTGAAAACTGGGCTATTAGGCACCTGGGACAGACCATGTGAATGGGCCAATGGATCCCTCAAAGAAGTTCTAGATTGGAGTCAGTGTTATCCAAAATAGGGTTGATCTGATCACAGCAAAAAGGTTACGGAAATCCTCTCCATATCCAGATCAAATAACATCTCTTCCAAGTAGGTTTATGTAACTATTTATAATCAGCTCCGTTTTTAAATTTTTTTTAACGCATATGTATAGAAAATGGTTTAGTACATATGCAAATTAAAGGTTAATATATAGTACACACCCATACAGCATCGTATTTTTCTGAAAACTTTTAGGTGTTTTTCATTTAGATGGATCCATATGGAGATAAGATAGGAAGCCAACTTTCTTCTAAAAGAAACTTCAGCATGAGGGCTATGTGTGCATTGCATGTTTATGTATGATTAAAATAAATCATAGCTTATTAAATGAGTTCAGTTTCCTGGGTTCACACAACATTCTATCTTCAACTGATTGGTTAGTTTCTGGTTCACTATATTGTACAAGCCAAACTAGATGGTCCAATGTGAAATTATCATACTTCATGCAGCTATTTTTTACAGGATGTGTACAATTTATCAAAATGCAAAACTTATTTTTAGAATAGTAGCACAGTTGGTTACAAATTGCATTAAACCTGTTCTATCTTTTCCAAGAGATATGGTTTTGCTATGTGGAATAACATCAACTAGATGAAGAATATGCCCACTATTTCCATTTTATTCATTTTAATATTGAAGTTAATATTTGGATTAATATAAAGTGCCTTTTTAACAATGCAAGCAGCAGCACAAGAGCTTTCTAGCAGAGGTATTGAGCGTTCTTAAAATAGGGCTGCCTTTAGGCTTAAAAAAAAAAAACTCCAGAAAACCATTAGATGAGAGCAAAGAGATAAAACTTTTTGCTGCTATCTAGTGGTTTTTCTACCATATCAATTATGGTATGATTATTTTCTGTATTTTCAAGAGAGCTGAAGGTGATGCCATTCAAGCTGCAATCTATCCCCAGGGGAATATGATTTTTACTTTATTATGGAACATGGTATTTTGAGTTTTAAACCATCCAGCTAAGTAAAACAGCACTTTGGCCTTTAAGTGGACCTCTATGTAGTCTTTGGTCTAACACAATATTTAAAATTTATATCATGGCTTGCTAACACAAAGAATGCAATCTGTATTTCTGCTTGTTATTTAGCCAAAAATGATTAATTGCACTCAAGACAAGAGGCAAATCTGTTCCAGGTGGGCTTCCAAGCTTCGGAATTTGGGGTGCTGATTTTGTGTATGAGAGAAAAAAAATGGGGAGATCAGCCAGTTTCTTGGCTTATTGATGCTATACATATATAATCTAACCCCTGTCATATCTACTGGTGACTAATTCATTAGGGCTGCAAAATATTCTTCATCACCATCTAGTTGCCTAGATTTTTGCAGCCCAATTCTGGTAGTCTTACGTTATTTCGGACTAAATCTAAACTGCTTTTTATATCCACATTTGGACTAATTTTTAGATTTTTAGTTTTTTTCTATTTTCATAGCATCTCATTTGATCAATTATCCTGGGGAAGTTAAAAGCTTGCACACCCTTACGGCATTTTAGTTGATAATGTTTGCTCAACTATGGATTATAAACCAAAGATGTGGGGAGGGGCCGCGGGGGAGATGTATTACCTTCTCCCGCGCGGCGCCTCCCCGCATCTTTGGTTTTTATGTGTATTTACAGTTAATCAAGTCGCACTGGAAACATGGAAATACAGACCTAGTATATTTCAAGTTGCCTAAATAGAAATGTAGTTTAAGTACTCTCTTAAGCAGACATGCATATATAAATGTATAAATTATTATTAGGCAAGAAAATAAATAAAACACCTTCCAATTAGGCAGCTTTCAAATGAACGCAGGCGTCGTTATATCCCATTCATTTCTACATCGCTGCGTTGCTTCGCGAGCCAGTTTGTCATTTGGTTCATATCTATTGCGGCGGCAGCAGAAGCAGCATCTAGCCACGCCCCTTCCCTGCCGGTCACGAGCGAGTACAAGAAGGGAACCAGGGGAGGAAAGCGGCTCAGGGGAAGGCGTGGCTACAGCGAAGCGTCGCGGTTTGGAGCCACAGGACCGAACGATAGAGTTCAGGCCGGGAGCGACTGCGAAGGGGACCGCTCGTCGACCCTGGGGAGTTGTGAGTAAAAGGAAGCGAACGTAAGGGGGTTGCAAATGCTACTCTAAGTGAAAGCTGCCTTTTCCTGCACCGGGGCAAGTTATTTCTTTCTTCCCAACTGGTCCTTTCTTGGCTAAACTTTCCTCCTGTGCAGCCTAATGATATTTTGTACCAAGGCGCGCTAGTCTAGCTAGCGTCCCTCCGTCCTCGCGTTTGGCCTCCACGCTCTTCCTTTCAATGAAGAGTTTACTCGTGCTCCTGTCCCTCTGCCTCTCTCTCGGCCACCAAGGCAGAGCCCTGCTCAGGCAAGGCCGGGTTCACCCTCTCCTGCCCTCTGAACTCGAACTGCTGCTACTCGGCTCCGCTCGCCCCATCCTCATAAAGACCTTCCTGTTCAGTGTGGTTAGAAAAGGAGCTGCTGCTCTTTCTTCTGCTGCTCATAAATTGCCTCGATGACCCAAACTAGCATTGAGAGGGAAAGCGAAAAACACCCCCTTTCTCTGTGTGATATGTAGCTTTTTACAGCTGTGTCATGTGATGAAAACTAAAAACGCTCAAAGCTTTTACTTAAAGCAGTGTTTTGCAACCTCAGCAACTTTAAGATGTGTGGACTTCAACTCCCAGAATTCCCTAGTGAGCATTTAAGTCCACACATCTTAAAGTTGCTGAGGTTGACAAACACTGCTTTAAAGCATTGTAGTTTGAATTTAAACAGAAAAGGGTTTGCCTTGTTTTGATATCTTTTTTTCCTGTTCTACTTGCAACTTACAGATGTACATTTATTATGCAAACACAGTGTGTAGCTATGGTTGCTTCCTCTTCAGTTCTCTCAATGTTACACATACACTACATATGCTGTTGGTATAGTGTCTGGAGCAGTGTTGCTCAGCCTTGCAACTTTAAGATGTGTGGACTTCAACTTGCAGAATTCCCCAGTCAGCATCTTAGCAACATCTTAAAGTTGCCAAGGTTGAAAAACACTGCTCTAGAGTAATAACCAGTATTATTCTGTTAGAAGAAAAAATCCACCAAAGAGTTTAAAAGCTGAAGAAATGTATAATGGCATTTTTCATTAGCATAAGATATGGGTTGCTGATGGTCACCAACTCCTCTATATAAAATCAAATTGATGTCTGTAATTATTACAGTACTGTAGTTCTAAATATATTTGCCCTACTTTTAGTTAAAGTAAGTTATTCCCTTCTGTTTTCTTACAACAACGGAGTTGTGAGATGTGGCTGGGTATAAATCTTATAAATAAAATACAAATCAATACCTTCTTTAAACATATAAATGGCATTTTTTCCTCACAGTATTTGTGTTTCTCACCTTTTGATTTTGTTTCTGCAGATTTTTGTTAAGTATTTCCTGTCCTTAGGATGTTTGCAAAAGCAACCAAAACTTTTGTGAAGGAGGTTGACTGTGGGGGAGACTTGATCTCTGTATCATCTCTGAATAACTTGGATAAATTACAGTTCCTGAACTTAGTCACAAAGAAAAAGAAAACCTGGTGCTGGCAAAATCCAAAGTACCATCTCTTGTCAATCACATTGAATGATGTGCTTGCTGAAGATGTACATGATCCTATAAAACCAGGTAGAGTTACAGTTACACACTGTTACAGGAGATAAGAAAAGGTGCAAAGTACTATGGATTATTGTATAGTTCCTGATTTAATATTGTTTAACTTTGAAGTTATTTTTTTTCAAAAAGTCAGATACAGCAGTGTTACTTTACACGTCATCTTGTTCTTTCTTTTGGTTGAAAATGGATGATACCTTCCAGAGAACAATCAAAATAGCCCAAACTGATCTATTAGATACTAATTTAAGCTATGAAACTTTCTACAGTGAAACAGTGAAAATAATGCTTTTTTAAAGTTATACCAGTTTATGGGATTTATGCTATAGAATGACTGCTTGCAGTAGTTGATGCGATCACTTGCAGAGGAGTAAGTGCTAGAGGTCATCTGTGCCAATTTAGTGGATGCATCAATGTGTGCACAGAAAGCATTTTGACCATTCACAACAGCAGTAATTGGTGATAACAATTTTTTCTAACATTGCTAAATTAATATCTGTAACAATTTAGGAAATCATTGTCTTTATTCAGAAGGAAATAGATTATATTGATTTCAGGCACAATAATAAGAATATCCTGAAGAGCCATTTAGCAGTTTCAGAATGAAAAAATAATATAATCAAAGTTGTTAAGACAGAAATATGTTTTCTTTAAGAAAGTTGCTTTTGTTTGCTATTTAAGATTTTCTAATCTGGTGGTATCCATATGTGTTGGGTTACAACTCATGATCATTGAGGAAGTCTGTTATTTGTTGCTTTTTAAAGATGTCAGAAGATTCTTGGCAACTTGTTCTTTTAAGTGGAGTACAGTTGACACTCCATCTTGATCTTCTGACTGCTATTAGAAGCATCTCATTGACTGGGTTCTCATATCATGCTAAATCATAATGTAATTTTTTTTTAGTCTTGGCTTGGCTCTGTGGGAACTCAGCCTTGTGATTTGCAAACTATGGTTTATGAATTAACCAGAAATGTGGGATTCTGGTTTTTCTCCTGTAACCTACTGAAATGGCTATTTCACAGATTGTCTACAAATCACTTCCTATTCTGGAATATTTACTTCTAGAAAATGAGCCATTCCTGCAATGGTTAGATTGGCACATTCTGGGAGAAAAAACCCAGAACACCAGAATCTTACTTTATTGGATATATAACCTTCCTTTCTGCTTTAGTGAGCATGCAAGGCAGCTAATAAAATAAAATTTGCATATATGCACCATCCACTCTGCTAATAAACATGGCTTAGTGGTAATATAGGGGGACGTGATGGCGCAGCAGCTTAATGACGCTGAAAGTTGCCGGCCAGAAATGGTCGACGCTTCAGCGGTTCGAGTCCAGCCTT